CCAGGAAGGTGGAAGAAGTAGGACCCTTACCGGTCTTAATAGGTCTTCGTCCTTTCTTCAACTGGTTTACAGGGCATTGCATGATCACATCGTCATCTGCCTTCTTCAAACTTATAGTTGCTCCATCACGGTCAACAACCTCATAGGGACCAGAAAATAAGGTACCATATTTTCAGCAGTTGGGTTACGACGCCAGACAGTATCGCCAATTGTTATAGAGTCTTGGTCAGTACGTCGGATCTTGGCCAGTCGTCTTCTAGTTTCGCCCTTCCGGCGGATCCACAATGACTTCAGCTTTGATAAAGTACGGATATTGTCGTTGAGGTAAGCCTCCTTCAAGGAACCAAGTGGTTCAATTAAATCATCATACAGCAGTCCCGATCCTAGCCATTTCTTAATTTCAGCGATAGCAGATTGGTCACGTGTCAACAGTGTGGCCGTTAGACCACCAGTTGGTCTCATGCATAGCCATGGACATAAGTCATTGTCAGCTTCATAGGGGATGTTGTTTACGACATAGGTAGCCTTGCTCACCAAACACTTCAGGTCCCTGACACCCTCAATAGATCGACCACGATCATTAGTCATACACCTTATAACTGATGAAAACTCAGCATGTGGACGCTCAAGCCAACCTCGTCGTGCCGCATCGAACCCAAACGTGTATACATGGACAACATTGTGCTCAGCAAGGAGCTGCTTAAACCTTATAGACATGAAGCAGCTTCCTTGATCAGTTGCTATTACACGAGGCCACCCATTGGCATTCAGTAATTCTATAGTCGCACAGGCCACATCCTCAGTGCCTGGAGAGTCGATAACCGTAGCAGCTACAAACTTGCTAATGTAGCATACCAATAGAAGGACCCAATGTTTAACACCGTCAGCATCTTTGATGGGTCCTGCTAGATCAGCACCAACGACACCCCATAAGAGAGGCACCCATGATTTAGATGTTGATATAGCTTTAGTGAGGGTACGGCCATACTTGGCTTGGCAACAGACGCTACAGGAAGAAATCCAATGTTTCACTCTCCTATGAAGTCCCTTAAAGTCACAGACTCCACGTAACAAGCCGACCGTCTTGGTGATACCGGGGTGACCAAAATCTCGATGAAACCTGTCAATCACCTCGTCCTTCAGCTTGTCGTCATCCGGAATGTATACTACCCAAGTATCGTCTTCATCTGAATTCCATCGCCTGCTCATCAAGGTACCACTTTCATCATCAAGATGGAAGAACTTAGACTGAGAACAGGACGGATCAGATCGTAGCTTGGACATAATAGATACACAATTAGG